ATTCCCATGATCCTAGGAGAGGGCAGACATGAGCCAGCCTGAAGAAATGTCAAGCAGAGCCCCAAGAATAAACAACAAAATCCCTGAAGATCCAATAAGATCTACAGGATGCCTCAGGCCTGCCTAGAGGTTGTAGGGTTAAGTCTTTTGGGAACTTGCCGCACTGTGATTTCTAGGTACCGCCGCCTGTGTTCTTCGGGTTGCTGTCTCCCAGGTGGGGCTTCCTACAGAGCCACACGGCCTCAGAAGCTGCCAGGCTCTGTGTTTCTGTGGGAGTGTTGCAAGTGTTGGATGTCTGTATGTGTGTGTGGCGTGTGTGTGTGTGTGTGTGTGTGTCTGCAAGTGGAGTCTGCTTAAAGGAATGTAACTAACGCACTGTAGCAATTCTTTTTGTGTGTCTCCCAACCTTCTGGTGGCCTTTCTGTGTGGCTCTGCTTGGTCTGTGGGGCTCCGTGTCCTTTATTTTTCACTGGACCACGAATCCACAGTGAATTGGAAGGCCAGGTGAGACACGCCAGGGTCCAAATCTCCTATCCCTGCAAAGAAAGCCACTTTTCTAGAAGGAAGAGGAGCACAAGACACCCAAGAACAGACATCTCCCAGTGTTTCATTGTCCCGCAGCCATCCCAGGAAGAGACACTAGCAGTTCTGACGCAGAGGTCCTTGAATTTACCTCAAATTCAGTTCCCAGCTGAGCAAGTGCTTTACAGCGTGAGGGAGCACGCCTTCATCATCTTTGCATTTCATTCTGGCACAGAAAGTGTGAGCAGAAATAAGGTCAGATAGGGATGAGCATACAATCTTGTGAGGGGGGCATGGGGTATGGCACTTTCACCTGCTGAGGTTGTTTGCACTTTGCAGGAAGTTTTTGGGTCCTCTGACAGGAATCTTTGAATGTTGCTTGGACTCCAGCACAAGTGAGCTCATTCTCTGGGGCGGGCCTTTATTTGTCATTGCTTTCATTGGGAATTCACATTTCCCCTCAACAGCACTACTGGGCAGCATTTCAGGCTTGCAATCTCCACAGACAGCCTCTGAGACTCTGTCTCAACCTCATTTGCACACGAGAGATGCCAGTTCGAGGTGTATGAACATTGCTCCTCCTTGGAATTGCCTTTATCGTGGTTTCTGCCTTTCTCAGAGAGCCCATGTGACGCCCAGGATGAAGGGAGACAGTGAGATAAAGGGCCCAGCTATCTTTTGCTGACACCCGCCTCTGGGAAATCAGGTATGTTCCGCCACCCAAAGACCACTCAACAACTCACCAGACTATATTCCAGTCCCCATGGGTCCTGATTCTTGCACACAGCTGCTTTCGGAAATGGGATCAGAAGAGCAGTTTCCAGCAACAACCCCACAGTCTGGAGACGCCTCCTCCTCCAGAGGGCCCCGACCATGGAGACGGCCCGAAGGGATTCTAAGAGCGAGACTTTTAGGGTCCCGCAGTGGGTTATCGCAGGCAGCTTTTTTCCCCGATACCAGACACGCTCTCCCTGTACCGGCACGCTCTCCCTGTACCATTTTTTTCTGCTTAGGCAGGCTGACAGCTAAGACAGTCAGGTGCCTGGGCCTGCCTCATGAACATGCATGCACTTGTCACAGGGCACCAGGCCTGAGCTGTGAGCTCTGGCCAGCATCACAATGCATGTCACGGTTGCCTAACGACAAGTCCCTGTGACTTGGCTGAGAAGGAGACCTCCCTGGAGGTGCGTCAGTGGTGGACTCTCACCTGTCTTCTCTGTGGGATCCACAGGATAGTTCCATTACCCTAGGAGAGGGCAGACCTGAGCCAGCCTGAAGAAACATCAAGCAGAGCCCAAGGAATAAACCACAAAATCCCTAAGGATCCAAAAAGATCTACAGGATGCCTCAGGCCTGCCTAGACGTTGTAGGGGTGAGTCTTTTTCGAAACTTGCCCCACTGTGATTTCTAGGTATAGCCCACCTGTGTTCTCCCGGAATTGCTCTCTCCCAGGTGGGGCTTCCTGCAGAGCCACACAGCCTCAGAAGCTGCTGGACTGTGTGTTTCTGTGGGAGTGTTGCAAGTGTTGGATGTCTGCGTGTGTGCGTGGCTTTGTGTGTGTTTGTGTGTGTGTGTGTGTGTGTGTGCCTGAAAGTGGAGTCTGCTTAAAGGAATGTGGCTAACACACTGTAGCGCTGCTTTTCTTTGTTTCTCCCAACCTTTTGGTGGCCTGTGTGGCTCTGCTTGGTCTGTGGGGCTCTGTGTTCTTTATTTTTCACTGGATCGTGAATCTGCAGTGAATTGGGAGGCTAGCTGAGACCCACGGGGTCTAAATCACTTCCCCCTGCAAAAAAAAACCACTCTTCTAGAAAGAAGAGGAGCACACAACACCGAAGAACAGACATCTCCCAGTGTTTCATTGTCCTGCAACCATCCCAGGGAGAGATACTAGCAGTCCTGACATTGAGCTCCTTGAATTTACCACCAATTCAGTTCCCAGCTGAGCAGATGCTTCACTACATCAGGGGGCACACCTTCATCATCTTTGGATTTCATTCTGGGACAGAAAGTGTGAGCAGAAATAAGGTCAGGTGGGCTGAGGATACAATCTGGTGAGAAGTGGATTGGGTCCCGCACCTGCACTAGCAAAAAAGGTGAAGAAAGATGACACAGAAGGTGCTTCCAACTGTATCCTCGCAGTCCCTGAATTGCACAGCCAGTCCACACCGTGGCCAGGTGGGAGTACTTGAACATACAGGGAACATCTGGAGTGCACACTGGGGCCATTCTGGCAAACTCCCGATTTGCGGGTTTTTATATCCAGAACCAAATGGGAGTGGAATGGTTTGATGCTGGTTGAGATGTGGCCTCCATACTTGCCTCTTCTTTTCCTGACTTTCATGTTTCTCATCAACCTAGGTTTTTCTTGGTCTGGCTCAACGTATTCCACACTAAACATTTCCCATTTCACGGAGGACAACGCTCACGGGAATTCATTCCATGAGTTTCCTTCTAAACACTGTCACATTTAACAAGTGGGCAGCTGTGATACTTTTAAAACCATAAATTGCTGTTACAGCCACTAACAAGAAAACTCTTCTTCTCCCAGTTTTATCAGAGGGCTGCATGATTCCTATAGGATGAGAAGCAGAGAGCCATGTTTGGCTTTTGCCTGGTAATCTAGGCTCTGTTTCTTTGTATCTGCACATCCTTTCTCATTGTGGAGTGGGTCATTCATTGGCCTGTTGCTGGATGGGACTGCCTCTCGTCACAGGTCTTTTGGCTAGCAGGGATTTCAGGGAGCAAGAGGGACTTCTGGTGGGCTGGTTGCACTCCATGTTGTGGTTCCTGGTCTCATTATGGGCACTGAGGTTGTTTGCACTTTACAGGAGGTTTTTGGGTCCTGTGACAGGAATCTTTCAACATTGCTTGGATTCCAGCACAAGTGAGCTCATTCTCTCAAGCAAGCCTTGATGTTTCTTCGCTTTCATGGGGAATCCACATTTCCCCTCAACAGCACTACTGGGCAGCATTTTCAGGCTTGCAGTCGCCACAGGTGGCCTCTGAGACACTGTCTCAACCTCATCTGCACACGTGAGAGGTCAGTTTGAGGTGTGAGAACACTGCTTCTCCTTAGATTTAACTTTGTCATGGTTCCTGCCTTTCCCAGAGAGCCCATGCAAGGCCCAGGATGAAGGGAGGCAGTAAGATAAAGGGCCCAGCCATCTTTCCCTCTCACCCACCTCTGGGGAATCAGGTATGATTCCATCTCCCAAGGACTCCTCAACAACTACCAGACTATATTGCATTCCCCATGGGACCCAATTGTTGCACACAGCCTCTTTCGGAAATGGAGTCAGAAGAGCAGTTTCCAGCCAGCACCTCTCACTCTCAAAACCCCTCCTCCTCCAGAGTGACCCGATGACGGACACAGCCAGAAGGGATTCTAAGGTCAGGACTTTTAGGTCCCGCAGTGGGTTATTGCAGGCAGTTTTTTTCCCCGATACCAGGCACGCTCTGCCTGTACCATTTTTTTCTGCATAGGCAGGCTGACAGCTCTTGATATCTGGGCACCCGAGCCTGCCTCGCGAATGTGCATGTGCTTGTCACAGGGCATCAGGCCTGAGCTGTGAGTTCTGGCTAGCATCACAATGGATGTCACGGTTGCTTAGTCACAAGTCCCTGCAGCTTGGTGGAGAAGGAGACCCCCGTGGAGGTGCATCAGGGGTGGACTTTTGCCTGTCTTCTCTGTGGGACCCACGGGATAGTTCCATTATCCTAGGAGAGGGTAGACCTGAGCCAGCCTGAAGGAACACCAGGCAGATCTGGCCCAAGGAATAAACTGCGAAATCCCTGGGATCCAAAAAGATTTACAGGATGCCTCAGGCCTGCCTTTACTTTGTAGGGGTGTGTTTTGAATCTTGCCCCACTGTGAAGTCTAGGTAGAGCCCACCTGTGTTCCCCGGGGTTGCTCTCTCCCTGGTGGGGCTTCCTGCAGAATCACGCAGCCTCATAAGCTCCTGGGCTGAACATTTCTGTGGGAGTGTTGCGAGGGTTGGATGTCTACAGTGTGTATAGCTGTGTGTGTGTGTGGGTGTGTTTGTGTGTGTGTGTGTGTTTGTGTGTGCATACCTGTAATTAAAGTCTGCTTTAAGGAATGTGGCTAATGAACTTCAGCACTTTTTTGTTTTTGAGTCTCCCGACTTTTTGGTGGCCTTTCTGTGTGGCTGTGCTTGGGCTATGGGGCTTCGTTTTCTTGATTTTTCTGTGGCTCATGAATCCTCAGTGAACTAGAAGGCTGGCTGAGACCCACCAGCATCCAAATCACCTTCCCCTGCAAAAAAAGCCACTGTCCTAGAAAGAAGAGGAGTACATCCCACCAAAAACCAGACATGTCCCAGTTTTCCATTGTCCTGCACTATCCCAGGGAGACACTAGCAGTCCTGTTGGCAGAGCCCCTTGAATTTGCCTCAAGTTTGGTTCCCAACCAAGCAGGTGCTTCAGGTCATGAGGGGCCACTCCTCCATTGTCTTTGGATTTCATCGTGGGACATAGAGTGTGAGCAGCAATAAGGTCAGATAGAGGTGAGGATGTAATCTGGTGAGGGGTGGATGGGGTCCCACAACTGCACCTGCAAAAGAAATGAAGACAGATGTCACAGAAGGTGTTTCCAACACCATCCCAGCATTTTCTTAATTGCACAAACAGTGTACACCATTTCCCAGTGTTCAGGTGGGAGTCCTCCAACGTGCAAGGAATATTTGGAGTGCAAATTGGGGCCATACTGGCAAACTCCTGATGTGAAGACTTTCATACCCAGGGCCAAATGGGAGTGGAATGGATTGATGCTGGTTGAGATGTGGCCTTCACACTTGTGTCTTCTTTTCCTGACTTCCATGTTTCTCATTGGCCCATTTCCTGGGTCTGGCTCAATGACTTCCACACTAAACATTTCCCAGTTCACAGAGGATGACCCTCATGGGAATCCGTTGTGTGAGTATTTTCTTCTAAACACTGTCACGTTTTTATGACTGGGCAGCTTTGATACTTTTAAAACCATAAATTCCTATTGCATCCGCCAACAAGGAAACTCTTGTTCTCCCACTTTATCAGAGGGCTGCATGATTCCTAGGGTGAGAAGCAGGCAGCCATGTCTGCCTTTTGCCTGGTAATCTTGACTCTTTTCATTTGATCTGCACAACCTTCTCATTGTGGAGGGTCTCTTTCATTGCATTGTTGCTGGATGGGACTGCCTCTGACTACAGATTATTTAGCTGCCAGGGATCTCAGAGAGCAATAGGGACTTCGGGTAGGCTGGCTGTGCTCCTGCTTGTGGGTTGTTGTCTCGTTGTGGGAGCTGAGGTTGTTTGCACTTTGCAGGAGGCTTTTGGGTCTTTGCAGCAATCATTGAACATTGCTTGGACTCCAGCATATGGCAGCTTGTTCTCTCAGGCGAGCCTTGATTTCTCTTTGCTTTCATGGGGAATCCATATTTCCCCTCAACAGCACTACTGGACACCCTTTTCAGGCTTGCCTTTGTCACAGAGCACCTCTGAGACTCTGTCTTAACCTCATCTGCACCCGTGAGGGGCCAGTCTGAGGTGTGAGAACACTGCTCCTCCTTGGACTTGCCTTTGTCATGGTTTCTGCCTTTCCCAGAGAGCCCCTGCAAGGCCCAGAATGAAGGGAGTCAGTGAGGTCAAGAGACCGGCCATCTTTCGCTGACATCTGCTTCTGGGGTCTCAGGTGTAATTCTATCACCCAAAGAACCCTCAACACCACACCAGACTATATTGTAATCCCCAAGGGACCCGATTCTTGCACACAGCCTCTTTCGGGAATGGAGTCAGAAGAGCAATAACAAGCGACCATCTCACAGTCTCGAAGTGCCTCCTCCTACAGCGGGACCTAACCATGAAGTTGGCCTGAAGGGGCCCTGAGGTTGAGACTTTTAGGGTCCCACAGTGGGTTTTTGCAGGCAGCCTTTTTCCTGATACCAGGACGGCTCTGCCTGTACCATTTTCCTCTGCTTAGGCAGGCTGGCAGCTCTGACAGCTGGGCGTCCGAGACTGCCTCACTAATGTGCATGTGCTTGTCTCAGGGCACCAGGCCTGAGTTGTGAGCTCTGGATAGGGTCAAAATGAATGTCAGAATTGCATAACGACAAGTCCCTGCAGCTTGGGAGAGAAGGAGACCTTCGTGGAGGTAAGTTGGCGTTAGATTCTCACCTGTCTTCTCTGTGGGGTCCACGAGATAGTTCCATGATCCTAGGAGACAGCAAACATGAGCCAGCCTGAAGAAACGTCACACAGAGCCCCACGAATAAACTGCAAAATCCCTAAGGATCAAAAATTATCTCCAGGATGTCTCAGGCCTGCCTTGAGGTTGAAGGGGTGAGTCTTTTTCAAACTCACCCACAGTGATTTCTAGGTACAGCTCCCCCACCGCCTCCCTATTCCTTGGGGTTGCTCTCTCTCAGGTGGGGATTCTGGCAGAACCACGTAGCCTCAGAAGCTACTGGGCTGTGTGTTTCTGTGGGAGTGTTGCGAGTGTTAGATGTCTGCATCTGTGTGTCTTTAAGTGTGTGTGTGTGTGTGTGTCCCCTGAAGGTGGGAGTCTGCTTAAAGAATTATGGGCGATGGAACTTGCAACCCTTTTTTCTTTCTTCTTCTTTTTTTTTTTTGAGTCTTCCCAACCTTTGGTGGCCTGTCCGTTGGGCTCTCTTGGGCTGCGGGGCTCCGTGTTGCTTTATTATTCGCTGTGGATCATGAATTTCTGCATGTTGAATGGCATGCCTGGGCTGAGACCCCCACCAGGTCCCCCAATTATTTTCCCTGCAAAAACAGGAATCCACTCTTCTAGAAAGAAGAAAGGGAGAACACCCACACTGGAAGGAGTAGAGCATCCTTCTTTATGTGTTTCCTTGTCCTGTGGCCAACCCACAGAGAGATACTTGCAGGTCTGTCCTCAGGGCCTCTTGAATTTACCTCGATTTTTATTTCCCAACCAAGCAGGTGCTTCATATCGCACAGGGGCACTCCACCATTGTCTTGGGATTTCATTCTATGACATAGAGTGTGAGCAGCCATAAGGTCAGATAGGGGTGAGTATAGAATCTGATGAAAGGTGGATGGGGTCCCACACCTTCACCTGCAAAAAAAAAGGTGAAGAAAGATGACACAGAAGTTGCTTCCAGCTGCATCCTCCCATTACCTTAATTGCACAAGCAGCCCACACCAGGGCCCAGTGTTCCGGTGACGTGCAGGGAAGATTTGGAGTGCAACCTGGGGTCATCCCAGCAAACTCCCGATTTGAGAGCTTTCATACCTGGAGCCAAATGGGAGTTAAATGGATTGATGCTGGGTGGGATGTGGCCTCCACACTTGCTTCTTCCTTTCCTGGCTCCCGTGTTCCTTGTCCGCCTAGAGTTTCCCAGGTCTGGCTCCATGTCTTCTACACTAGACATTTCCCTGTTCATGGAGAACAATCCTCATGGGAATCCATTGCATGAGTGTTTTCTTCTAAACACTGTCACGTTTTAATGACTGGGCAGCTGTCATACTTTTAGAAGCATAAATCCCCGTTAGAGCTACCAACAAGTAAAATATTGTTCTACCACTTCCATGGGAGGGCTGCCTGATTTCTGTAGGTTGAGAAGCAGGTAGTCGTGTCTGGATTTGCCTGGTAATCTTGGCTCTGTTTCACTTCATCTGCCCCTTCTTTCTCACTGTGGAGGGGAGCTTTCACTGGGCTCTTCCGGAATGGGACTTCCTCTCTTCACAGATCTGTTGGCTGTCAGGCATTTTAGGGAGCAAAAGGGACTTTAGTTAGGATGGCTGCACTGCAGGTTGTTGGTCGCTGTCTCCTTGTGGGGCTGAGGTTGTTTGCACTTTGCAGGAGGCTTTTGGATCCTCTGACAGGAATCATTGAACATTGCTTCGACTGCAGCACAAGGCAGCTGGTTCTCTCAGGTGAGCCTTGATTGTTCTTTGCTTTCATGGGGAATTTACAGTGCACCTCAACAGCACTACTGGACACCTTTTTCATGCTTGCCATTGCCACAGATGGCCTCTGAGACACTGCCTCAACCTCATCTGCACCTGTGAGAGGCCATTTTGAGGTGTGAGAACACTGCTCCACCTTGGACTTGTCTTTCTCATGGCAAGCCTTTCCCAGAGTGCCCTGTGAGGCCCAGGATGAAGGGAAGCAGTGAGGTCAGGAGTCCGCCCATCTTTCCTTGACACCTACCTCAGGGATCTCAGGTATTAATACCCAAAGAACTCTCAACAACACACCAGAATATCTATCTATCTATCTATCTATCTATCTATCTATCTATCTATCTAATCTATCTATAGATAGATAGATATCTATCTTATCTATCTATATCTAGATAAGATAGATATCTATCTATAATAGATATCTATCTATATCTCTCTTATAGATCTTATAGATAGATAGATCTAGATAGATAGATATATTCCAGTCCCCATGGGACCAGATTCTTGCACACAGCCTCTTTCAGAAATGGATTCAAAGGAGCTGTTTCCAGCGAGCACCTCACGGTCTCAAAACGCCTCCTCCTTCAGCAGGACCCGACCACGGAGATGGCCCAAAGGGGCCCTGAGGTGGAGACTTTTAGGATCCCGCAGTGGATTTTCACAGGCAGCCTTTTCCCGGATACCAGGCCTGCTTGTCCTGTACCATTTTCCTCTGCTTAGGCAGACTGACAGCTCTGACAGTCAGGTGCCCAAGCCTGCCTCACGAATGCACATGCGCTAGTCTCAGGGCACCAGGCCTCATTGTGAGCAATGACTAGCGTCACAGTGAACGTCACCATTGCCTAGGGACAAGTCTCTGTGGTTTGGCGGAGAAGGAGACCTCCGTCGATGTGCGTGGGCAGTAAACTCTCACCTATCTTCTCTGTGGGATCCAGGAAATAGTCCAGTGATTTTAGGAGAGGGCAGAGGTGAGCCAGTCTGAAGAAACGTCAATCGCCACCCCAGAAATAAACCGTGAAATCCCTAAGGATCCAAAAGGATCTGCAGGATACCTGAGGCCTGCCTAGACCTTATAAGGGTGAGTCTTTTTGAAACTTGCCCCACTGTGATTCCTAGGTGCAGCCTGCCTGTGTTCCCTGGGGTTGCTCCCTCCCAGGTGGGGATCCCTGCAGAACCACACCGCCTCAGAAGCTGCCAGGCTGTGTGTTTCTGTGAAAGTGTTGTGAGTGTTGGTTGTATGCATGTGTGTGTGGCATTGTGCATGTGTGTGTGTCTGTAAGTGGAGTCTGCTTAAAGGAATGTTGCTAAAGCACTTCAGCGCTTCTTTTTTTTGAGTCTCCCAACATTTTATTGGCCAGTCTGTGTGACTCTGCATGAGCTGTGGGGCACTGTGTTCTTTATGTTCCTGTGGATCATGAATCCGCATTGGATTGGGAGGTGGGCCGAGGCCTGCCAGCCTCAAAATCCTCTCCCTTTGCAAAAGAAGCCACTCTTCTACAAAAAAGAGGAGCATACCACACCAAAAAACAGACATATCTGAGTGTTTCATTGTGCTGTGGACAACCAAGGGAGAGACACTAGCAGTCCTGTTCACAGGTCCCCTTGAATTCACCTCGAATTCGGTTCCCAGCCGAGCAGGTACTTGACGTAGTGAGGAGGCAATCGTCCATTGTCTTGGGATTTCATCCTGGGACATAGAATGTGAGCAGCAATAAAGTCAGATAGAGATGAGGATACAACCTAGCGATGGTGGGTGAAGTTGCAGAACCCTTCAAAGGAAAGGAAATGAAGACAGATGACACAGAAGGTGCTTCCAGCACCATAGCCGCATTCCCTTAATTGCACAAGCAGTCCACAGCATGGCCCAGTGTTCATTTGGGAGCAATCCAACGTGCAAGGAATATTTGGAGTGCAAATTGGGGCCATCCTGGCAAACTCCTGATTTGAGAGCTTTCATACCCGGAGGCAAATGGGAGTGGAATGGATTGATCTGGGTGGGATGTGGCCTACACATTTACCTCTACTTTTCCTGACTTTCTTGTTCCTTGATGGCATATGGTTTTCTGGGTTTGGCTCAACGACTTCCACACTAAACGTTTCCCCGTTCATGGAGGTTGACCCTCATAGAAATCCATTGTGTATCCATTGCGTGAGTGCTACCTTCTAAACACTGACATTTGAATGATGATCAGTTTTAACACTTTTAAAACCAAAAATTCCAGTTACAACCACCACCAAGGAAACTCTTGTTCTCCCACTTCTAATGGAGGGCTGCATGATTTCTGTAGGGTGAGATGCAGGCAGCCATGTCTGCCTTTTGCCTGGTAATCTAGCCTCTGTTTCATTTTATCTACACAGCCTTCTCATTGTGGAGGGAGTCTTTAATGGGGCTGTTGCAGGATGGGACTGCCTCTTGCCACACATTATTTAGCTGCCAGGGATTTCAGAAAGCAAAAGGGGCTTTGGGTACGCTGGCTGACCTCCCGGTTGTGGGTCATCTCGTTGTGAAGGCTGAGGTTGTTTGCACTTTGCAGGAGGCTTTTGGGTCCTCTGACAGGAATCACAAACATTGCTTGGACTGCAGGACAAGGTAGTTCGTTCTCTCAGGTGAGCCTTGATTGTTCTTTGCTTTCATGGGGAATCCACAGTGCCCCTCAACAGCACTACTGGACACCCTTTTCAGGCTTCCAGTCGACAAAGATGGCATCTGAGACACTGTTTCAACCTCATGTGCACCTGTGAAAAGTCAGTTCGAAGTGGAAGAACACTGCTCCATTTTGGACTTGTCTTTGTCGTGGTTCCTGCCTTTCCCAGAGAGCCCCTGTGAGGTCTAGGATGAAGGGAGGCAGTGAGGTCAGGAGCCTGGCCATCTTTTGCTGACACATGCCTCTGGGGTCTCAGGTATGATACAATCACCCAAAGAACCCTCAACAACACATCAGACTATATTCCAATCCCAATGGGAACCGATTCTTGCACACTGCTGCTTTCAAGAATGGAGTCAGAAGAACAGTTTCCAGCGACCGCATCACAGTCTCAAACTCCGCTGCCTCCTCCAGCGGGACCCAACCATGGAGACTGATCAAAGGGGCCCTGAGGTCGTGACTTTTAGGGTCCTGCAGTAGGTTTTCGCAGGCATCCTTTTTCCCGATACCAGGCTCTACCTGTACCATTTTCCTCTGACAGCACTGACAGCCGGGGCACGAGCCTGTCTCATGAATGCGCATGTGCTACTCTCAGGGCACCAGGCGTGATTGTGATCTTTGGCTAGTGTCACAATGAATGTCACCGTTGCCTAGTGACAAGACCCCGCAACTTGGCGAAGAAGGGGACCACCGTGGAGGTGCGTGGGCCGAGGACTCTCGCCTGTCTTCTCTCTGGGATCTATGGGAGGGTCTCATGATCCTAGGAGAGGACAGACATGAGCCAGCCTGAAGAAAGGACAAGCACAGCCCCAGGAATAAACCACAAAATCCCAAAGGATCCAAAAAGATCTGCAGGATTCCTCAGGCCTGCCTAGATGTTGTAGGGGTTGTCTTTCTGATATTCTTTCTACTATGATTTCTAAAGATAGCCCGCCTGTGTTCCTCTGGGTTGCTCTCTCCCAGGTGGACTTTCTGCAGAATGACAGAGCCTCAGCAGCTGCCTGGCTGTGTGTTTCCGTGGGAGTGTTGCGTGTGTTGGATGTCTGCGTTTGTGTGTGTGTGTGTGTGTGTGTGTGTGTTCCTGTTAAGTGGAGTCTGCTTAAAGGAATGTGGCTAACTCACTTCAGAGCTATTTTTTTTTTAGTCCCAGAACCTTTCGATGGCCTGTCTGTGTGGCTCTGCTTCGGCTATGAGGTTCCGTGTTTCTTATTTTTCTGTGGATCATGAATGCAGTGAATTGGGATGGGGGCTAGACAACAAGCTATCTGTGAAAATGCTCTGTGATGTGTGAATTGATCTCACAGAGGTAAACCTGTGTTTGTTTTTAAACCTGTGTTTTGATTCTCCGACAGATACTAAGAAACAAGCACTCTGTGAAAATGCTTCATAATTTCTGGATTCATGCAACAGAATGGAACCTGTGTTGTGATTCACCAGGTTGGAAACATGCTTTTTGTATAATCTAAGAACAGACATTTCTGAGCCCTTTGAAGATGACACTGAAAAAACAAATATCCCATGAGAAAAACAAGAAACAAGCTATCTGTGAAAATGCTTTTTAATGTATTTTTGATGTATTTTGATGTGATGCATTCATCTCACAGAGTTAACCCTGTGATATGATTCACCAGGTTAGAAACAATTCCTATGTAAAATCCACGAAGGGTCATTTCTGAGACCATTGGAGCCTATAGTGAAAAACCGAATATCCTGTGATTAAAAGTAGAAACAAGCAATCTGGAAAAATGCTTTTTGATGTGTGGATTCATATCACAAACTTAAACCTGTGTTTTGATTTACCAGGTTAGAAACATTCTTTGTGTAGAATCACAAAGGGACATTTCGGGGTTCATTAAAGCCTATAGTAAAACCCTGAATATCGTGCAATAAAAACAAGAAACAAGCTGTCTGTGAAAATGCTTTGTGATTGTGAATTCAACTCACTGAGTCACACATGTTTTGTGCTTCACCAAGTTAGATAATGCCTTCTGATGTGTGGATTCATCTCACAGCGTTAAACCTGTGTTTTGATTCAAACGATAAGAAACACTCTTACTATAGAATCCACGAACGGACATTTCTGAGCCGTTTGAAGCCTATAGTGAAAAACCAAATATCCTGTGATATAAACCAGAAACAGGGTATCTGTCAAAATGTTTTGTGGTATGTGGATTTTCCTCGCAGAGTTAACCCTGTGTTGCAATTCACCAGTTTGGAAACACTATTTTTATAGAATCTATGATGGGATATTTGTGAGCCCATTGAAACCTATAGTGTAAAACAGAATATTTCCTGATAAAAACCAGAAACAAGCAATCTGAAAATTGTTTCGTGTAGATTCTTCTTACAGAATTGTACCTGTGTTTTAATTCGCTGTGTTTGAAGCACTCTGCAAAAAAAACAAAAACAAAAACAAAAAACCTGCCTACTGAGGACCATTGTAAAAAAACAGAGTATCTCGTGATAAAAACTAGAAACAAGTTATCTGTGAAAATGCTTTGAGATGTGTGAATTCCCCTCGCAGAGTAAAACCTCGGTTGTGATGAACCAGGACTTAAAAATTCTTTTTGTGAAATCTATGAAGAGAAGTTTGTGAGCTCATTGAAGCCTATTGTGAAAAACCGAATATCCCAGTGTAAAATCTGGAAACAATCTATTTGTGAAAATTCTCTGCGATGTGTGGATTCATCTCCCAGAGTTAAAGCTCTGTTTTGATGAATCAGGCTAGAAAGATGGTTTTTGCAAAATCCATGAAGGAACATTCCTCAGCTCACTGAAGTCTATAGTGAAAAACCACATGTCCCTTGAAAAAATCTAGAAACAAGCTATCTGTGAAAATGATTTGTGATATTTGGATTCACCTTACAGAATAGAACATGCATTTTGATTCACCAGGTTGGAAACTCTCATTGTGTAAAATGTATGAAGAGACATTTTTGAGCAAATTAAAGCCCATAGTCTAAAACTGAATATCTGGCAATAAGAAAGAAACAAACTATCAGTGTAAATGCATTGTGATATGTGGGTTCTTCTCATGAAGTTAAACCTGTGTTTTGTTTCATCAGGTTAGAAAAACGCTTTGTGTAGAATCTACAAAGGGATATTTCTGAGCCCATTGAAGACTTTAATGAAAAACTGAATATTCCACAATAAAATCTAGAAACAAACTATTTGTGAAAATAATTTGTGACATGTAGATTCGCCTCAGAGCGTTAAACTTGTGTTATGATTTACCAGGTTAGAAATACACTTTCTGTATCATCTACGAAAGGACATTTCAGAGCTTACTGAAGCCTGTAGTAGAAAATGGAATATTTTGTGATAAAAACCAGAAACAAGCTGTCTGTGAAAATGTTTCTGATGTTTGGATTCCTTTCACGGATTTAAACCTGTGTCGTATTTCAGCAGGTTTGAAACACTTTTTTAAAAATAAAATATGTGAAGGAACATTTCTGAGTCCATTGAGCCCTATAGCATAAAACAGAACATCCTGTGATCAAAACTAGAAACAAGCTATCTGTGTAAACCCTTTGTGATGTATGGATTCATCTCACAAAATGAAACCAGTATTTCGATTCACCTGGTTGAAAACCCTCTTCTTGTAGAATCAACGAAGGGATATTTCTGAACCAATTGAAGCCTATAGGGAAAACTGAATATCCCACACTAAAAACTACAAATGAACTATCTATGAAGATGCTTTGCGATGTGTGCATTCATCTCACAGAGTTAAACTTTTGTTTTGATTCATCATGCTAGAAACACTCTTTTTGTAGAATGTACAAACATATTTATGAGCCCATTGAAACGTATAGTAAAAAATAGGACATTCCATGATTAAAAACTACAAACAAGTGATCTGCGAAGATTCTTTGTGTCGTGTGGACTCATCTAACAAAGTAAAACCTGTGTTTTGATTAACCAGCTTAGACAAACTCTTCTTGTAGAGTCTAAAAACTGACATTTCTAAGCTCATTGATACTTAGAGTGAAAAACCGAATATTCCACAATAAAAACTAGAAACAAGCTGTCTGTGAAAAT